TTTGGCATTTACGAGGAGATGTTAAATGAGTCAACTCACTGCTTGTAAATTATGACCTAGCATGAACTATTGGTAAGAGTCAAAATTGTGAAGTCACTTTCTCTTGAGGTTTTTTTTTTTTTTGCTCCCCCGCTGAATATAAAGACTACACATTTATATACCAAATTATTATATTTCACTATGATCTATTTCTTGGTTTTCAATTTATTCTGCTATCTGACTTGTATATTAATAATCCTATTCTAATATGCTATACGAATGGAGAAAAGTAAAGCAATTTCAGATAAACCAAAACTAGCAAAAGTATTTCCAACAAATAAAAGTAATATTAAGCATGTTCAGGAAAAAGGAAAATGATTTTAAGGGGAAGGCTAATAATGAAAGAATGTATGTAAAGCAGTATGTAAGTAATTACAAATATTTCTTCATTGCTTGAAGTATTAACAGAAAATTTAGGGGCTAAAACAACAAAATATTCAAAACATATAACAAGAAGGATAGGTTGCAAAGGGGAAAAAAATGGAGATAAAGTGTTCTAATTCCACTGTATTATCTTGGAAAAGAGAAAAATCACAAATGGATGTTTATATCTGAAAAATCAAGGATGCAGTTGTAATTATTGAAATGTATTTGTTTTTTGTTTTGTGTGATATATTTTATGAAAATTGTCAAAACATTCCAAAATGACATAAAACAAAATCTAGATAAATGGAAACACATGTTATCTTAATGGATAGTACAACTCAGTATAGTAAAGATTTCTATTCTCCCCAGATGTGTCTCTAAATGCAAGGTAATCTCACTCAGATCACCAACTAAGTTGTTTAAAGAAATTGTCATTTAGAATACAGATGCATTCTAAATGTACATGAAAGAATAATTTAGAAAGAACACATTAGATATTTAGACATACTATAGAATCATAGTTTAAAATAAATATTTTAAAAATATGATACTGATAGAATTAACAAACAAAACAATGGAACATATAGAGAGTTCAGAAATAGATCTATATGTGTCTGGGGACCTGAGTAGTGGCAAAGGTGACACTGAAAAGCAAAAGAATAGATTGATTCGTAGATGATATTTGGAAAAACTATTCACTACTTGAAGAAAAGCAAAGCTGTATTCCTATCACCCTCTATATGCAAAACAGAATTTCAAGTAAAGTACAAACCTTAAAGTTAAAGTAAATTGACAACAGATGTTAAGAGAAAAAAAGTATTTGTGTTTAAATAGTAGGGAAAGAAATCTTAACCCAGATTGCCAGCTACAAAGAATGAAAGGAAAATTAATCACTTCAACTCAATGAATGATACCAGAGTTAACAGAGATGACAACCTAGAAACACATTTTAACATTAAGAATCAATTAAAAGAAAACTTAAAATTTATCAAAAGATAGGACAATAATTAAAAATTGAAAAAATTATATGAATAGGTGATTGACACACAGCCTGAATTGCCCAGAAGAGAATTAGATGATCCTTAGAGTAGTAATTAGATAAATTTTAATTTTAAAAAAGTTTGATACCACTTTGCATTCCTAAGGAGGAAACATTAGAAAGTTGAACAAATCAAGTGTTGGGTGGGTAATGTTAATAGGAATATAAACTGTATACACAGTTTTTGAAAGCTCTCTGCCAATATTAACAAATTAAGTATAAATCAATGTTAAGATGAAGCAGTGCCACCGTAGTTATACTACACAGGCTATTTGGTTTCCTATAAAACAATACATTAAAGGATGTTCATTTTATTGATGCTTATGTTGGTGGAAAAGGGGACATCCTCATACTTCCTCCTAAGAGAAGTGGCTAAATGAAGCACAACAAATGGATACTATTTTTGCAGCTCTGAAAACCAGTCAACTGAATTTTCATGTAATAAGTTGAATGAGGAAGACAAGCTAAAATGAGATTTTATAGGAAAATACAATTTGTGTAAATTAAAATGCAAAAAAATTATGTATTTTACAAAAGTACATGAACAGTTTTTAGATAATTTAAAAGTGATAACATAAGGATGAAGGATAAATGGAAAAATAAAATAAAACAAAACCTTTTATAAAGTGGTGTTGAAAATCTGCTATAAAGTAAGAGTATCATGAACCAACTCTGTGCTTGAATTTCAGCATTATTGTCATTATGCTCATCATCGAGACAAAAACAGTAGAAGTAATGTAAATAATCTTTCTGTTGGATATGGGAGCATAAAAAATATACCCCTTTTGTTTGCCCGGTGTGTGAATAAGTTGAAAAATATATCAAACTCATACAGAGAAGAGAGTATTAATCCAAACAATTATAAAGTCTGCCCTCATTCTTATACTGAAGAAGCCTCTAAACCTACTTTATCATAAGCCTCTAAACACTACTTAATCATTTGCTGGTTCTAATCGGAATTTTCTTACATATTGCCCTACTTTCTTCAAGTGACACAAGTACCTACTGTCTGACCATGTGTGTCAGTGATTGCTATATTGTCTCAAATCTAAATTCACTCTTAATTGCCCGTCCTGTGATAATGGAGGTGGACTCTGATAAAAGTTCTCCTTTTCCAGTTGGCACAATGTTAACTTTGGTCAGTAGAGTGTTCTGGACAGGCGCTTGTGGAGTAAGGGGACTCTCCTTCCAGTTCTGGTGTGATTCTCTAGGCAGGACCTTGCATCCTCTCTGCTTTTATAGCACCAAGCCATGGTAAGGTGTTCAGCTTCTCCAGGGCCAGGTTCCCATGGCACATGTGGCTTTGCAGCAGAGGACAGCAAAGGCAACACCTCCTGTGAATGGCTCCCTCTGGCACCCCCTTGGGTAACTCTGTAGTCAAGTGTTGCTTCTCTGGAATTTTCTCATAAATTATTTAACCCCCAGGTAGTTTCATAGGAAGATCTGAGATGCAGTTCCTCCATATGGTGGCTCCTTGTCACCCTGGGGAGCAGATTTTCAATGAGTGCTGTAGACATAGCACTTCTCAGTGCTTATGCATCTCCTTTACAGCCTCAGTTTTTTCCCAGCCATCCATTGAACTTTGGACATGCCCTCTCTCACGAGGTCCCAGGAAAAAGACCTCTCTCACACTGTTCCTTCTCTGAGTGTTCTGTCTCTATATTTGGGACAGTGACTGCTTCTTCTGTCTTCAGAGGAAGTCTACTCTTCTACTCTTAGAGTTTTAGAGTCCTCTTTACTCCTTGTTAGTCAGTCTTGGTTAGTCCTTGTCTCCAGTCTCCTGTTATAATGAACAATGTGCTTTCAGTCTCCCAGCTGGATGCCAACTGATACATTCAGTTGTGCTATTCAGTAATGAACAAATCACACAGATCCCTGTACATAAGAGGTTGGGGATGGGGTGTGGGGAACATGGATGGTATCAGACAAGAAATAATGTTCCTGGTTATGGTTTTTCTCTTTAATGAGGCAATTCTTTCAGGCATCATCATCAATATGAATGATGCTACCTCTACACCCTTACTATTCATGATAATGGTAACAAAAATACTACTTAGATTACATTTGCTGAGCCTTGTGTCAGGCATTGTGGAGTGCCACGTATTGCAATAAACTTTTTTGTACACTTTATCTAATTTTATCTTTACAGTCACACCATAGGAATGATGTATATCATTTGAGGTATTTTACAGATAAGAAAAATGAAGTTCAGTAAAATTAACTGATCTTTCACAAGGTCAGAGCTAATAAGTAGTAATGGTGTGTGCAATCTAGGCTATCTGATTTCAAAATTATGTTCTAAACTATTAGCAGGACAAGCATCTCATGCATGATGACTACATTGTATCCTCTTGTCCACAGTGTTCACCAAACTTCATATTCATATTTTAGTTCTGTTCTATTCTTTTCTATTCCATTCCATTCCAGGCAGTTTTGCTTTAATTGTCTTGAAATTCTCAGAATACCAAGCACATTATTCATCAGTGACTTGGCATATGCTATCCTCCCTTTCCTTTTTTATTTTTTTCTCCTCTGTCTAAAAAGTATCTACTTTATCATTCATTTCGTATCACAGGCTTCACCCTCTGGTCTCGTAGTCCTGTACACTCATTTATAGTCACATATTAGATGCATTACCTTTAGAATCTTCCCAACTAGATTCAAAATTGAGATGCAGGACGGGACAAGGACTGCTTGAAGTTCGCCTATTATTTCCAGAATCAAGCATCCATGTAAGTGACTATTGAATGAGAAAATGAAATTGGCATGTGTTGCTGCTGGTAACACTATGCTAATGACTACAAGGGCAGAGACGCCATCAGAGGCAGGATAAGGAAGAGAACAGACCTCCAATCACTTCCCGGATGTGGATGCTAAAGCATCCTGAGTGGAATGGGACTCCATCTGGTGTAGGTACATGAAGGGATTACAAGACAGCAGTGAGTATCCAGCCTCAAAAGCCCCTTTTTACATTCTCTTCAGTCCTATATTTTTCACAGTATGAGTAGTCCCCTCCTTCCAGTACAGACGGGGAAGGGTTCAATGGAAAAGGTAGCAAAGCTACCTCCCTCTGCTCTCTGTTCTTCATGCAGATCTTTATAAGGTGACAGAGGAAACTAGAATGAGTGGTCAGGGGAAGTGGAGCAATGGGAACAGTAAAGCACATAAGGAAAAATCTTGGAAGAACAGTGGTGTCTTTAGGCAGAAGAACTTAACAGATTTAGGGCTGTGAGATTCCAGACAATTAAAGAGACATTTACAAGGAAGGCTAAATAAAATAATTGATTTCAATAAAACATAGCAATAATCTTAACTCCCAATTCAAGCCTCAACTTGAATCCTTTTCTAACGGAAAGTAAGAATAAACAGCAAGGTGTGTTTCCCCCTTGATACTAGATATTTACAACCTTTCTTTTACACTCCTTTCATGGAGTCCAAGATACATATGTATTTTCCCAAGGTCTCTACTAGCCCTGTGTTTCTTTATGTCCGAAGTGCATTGCCCTCCCATGTGCCCATCTAAGTGAGAGTCACAGAAATTATTGAAGTACACCAGTGCAATGAAAATAAATGTTTTTATTAGACAGAGGCCAGATGCTCAAAATTCTTCATAAGTTTTTCCAGATTCAGTTTTTGGGCTCTGAGGACAAGTAAGCCCCTCCTGGAAATCAGGAAAGGAAGCTTAGTGGTATCTGTGGGCCAGGGCATTGGCCACACCCGCCACCACCTTCTGATAGGCAGCCTGCAGGTCCGGGGTGAATTCCTTGCCAAAGTGACGAGCCAGCACAACCACCAGCACGTTGCCCAGGAGCTGTGTGGAAGAGATAAGAAGCAAGGGCGTGGTTAGCAGAGGGAGCAGAGGGACCTGGCTTGGACTCAGAATATTTCAGTTTCATCCCAAGCTGTGCCCCTAAATATAAGCGGAACGATCGCCGAAGTGCAGAGGTTGCTCTTGATGTGAGTCCCCCACCATCAGCCTGAATTTATATTTAGAATGTTTCTCTCTTTCCACCTTAATTCCGAACTTAAGTCATCATTGTTGTCCTTTAGAACCATGTGAAGAAGCAACACTACATTTTATCCTGCTTGCTTTGAAAGGAAGAGATAAGGGGGGAAACTGTTCAGTAACATTCCTGAAGTGGATTAAAAGAAGTTTTTTTTAATTAAACACTCAAAAAGTTTAATTTTAAAAAGAAAGAAGACATTGCAGAGAACAAACAGGAAAACAAGAATGAATGAGGTGGGGGAGGGTGTAGCTCAGTAGTAGAGTACATGTAAAAGGTTCTGGGTTCAATTCCCTGTACCTCCATTAAAATAAATAAATAAACCAATTACCTCCCCCACTACCTTGAGGGGAAAAAAAAAATGAACAAGAGGAAACGATGTTGAGCAAAGAGGGTAAAAGAAACCAGATGGTCCTGAGGAGCCCACAGTGATATAACCAGAATATCTCTTTTCCATTTTGAACTGCATCCTGCCATTCAGCCCTCCCCCGTGACACAAGCTGGACCATAAAAAAAGGGAAGAAGGGGAACATTGAGGGTCCCATGGACTCACCCTAAAGTTCTCAGGGTCCACGTGCAGCTTGTCACAGTGCAGCTCGCTCAGCTTAGCATAGGTGCCCTTGAGGTTGTCGAGATGACTCAGGCCATCACCAAAGGAGTTTAGCACCTTACTGCCATGGGCCTTCACTTTAGGGTTGTTCATGACAGCATCAGCAGTGGACAGGTCCCCAAAGGACTCAAAGAACCTCCGAGTCCAGGGGTAGACAACCAGCAGCCTAAGGGGTGAAACAACATAGGGGACGGAGGGAGTCAGTGCCTGTCAGAAACTCGGGGGACCGCTCTGTCTCCACATGCTCAGCTTCCAGTCCCTCTCCTTAAGCCTACCTCGTAAGTGGATACCAACCTGCCCAGGGCCTCACCGCCAACTTCGTCCACCTTCACCTTGCTCCACAGGCCGTGGACTGCGTTCTTCTCGTCACCAGACAAATTCACCATGGTGTCTGTTTGTGTGGTTGCTAGTGAACACGGTTGTGTCAGAAGCAAGTGTAAGCAGCAGCTGGCCCTGCTCTTCCTTTTATGCCCAGCCCTGCCTCCTGCCCGCCCTGCTTCTGGGAGCAGATTGGCTCAGGCCAGGGTGTGGTTCCGAAGGATGAGGCTTGAAGGATGACAGTCATACCCTGCCTTGGCATTCCTGGCACTGACCTCAGACATTCAGCCCCCTCTCTGCATATCTTCAAGTCCCATCCCAGCAATACCACTTGCTACGAAAATCATCTTCCTTGGCAACTTGACTTGTACAATTTTTAGAATCATAGTTTGGTAATCTCTTAGAGACTGGCTCCTTAATTTTCTTAATACACAAATGAAGAATCCAAGGTCCAGAAAGCGGAAGGGATTTGCCCCCTGTGGTTCAACTTAAGACTATATGGATGGGTTGGTGTATATATATAACTGAATCACTTTGCTGTACACCTGAAACTGGCATTGTAAATTGACTACACATCTCTAAAAATTTAAGAATAAAAAATAATTAAAAGACAGAAAAAACAGAAACAAAACAAAACAAAAACAAAGACGATATGAAATTGTCTCCTGTGCCTTGAGAAAACATGAAATAATCACAAGGACAGCATGAATAAAGCCTCTGCCTCAGTTATAAGTATGTATAGACTCTTGGCTTGGATTAAATCCTCCTTATAAGAAAACAAATATTCATGCATTCATTCACTTATTCATTCATTTTTTTCCTTAAACTTAGTCATATGACCAAATAAATGACGATAGAAAAGTAGAATAAATATGAATCAAGAGTGTCCTGTGAAATAGTTACTCCATTCCGTGTGGGGATCCACAGATTAAAAACCCTCTCTCAATGTAGTAAGAAATACAAATAAGTAAAAATCAAATACTAGAATACTAAAACCCTGATTTTTAGTGACATCGAGGGAAGCAATGTTTTCAAAGGCTAACCAGGGACATAGAACATGTTTCTTCCTGGACTGACCTGGGAAAGGGTCTGGGAGAACTTAGAAGTTTCTCTGTGATTTAAAATGAGGGGTAGAAATGTGGAAAGGCATTCAGGCTTTGCCTTAGATTATTTCTTTTTCTCCCTGAGGTCGCTAAGAATGCTGTGTTTGTAATAATTTCTTTTATTTAAATTTGTCACCCATTATCCTATTTTCTCTCTACATTTTTGTTTGTTTAAACCTTCTTTTACTAAAATTTTATCTTCGCTCTATATAGCTTTTCCAGTAGCCTTCTCCCATTTTCTTCCCCCATGTAATGAATCCTGTTAACTTCTTAGGCGGGAAAAAACTTCTGAAGTGTAGAATTCTGCTGCTGCTGATAAATTGGGAGCTCAAAATTTGCAGATACTAACTACTATATATAAAAAACATAAGTAACAAGTTTCTACTGTATAGCACAGGGAACTATATTCAATATCTTATAGTAACCTATAATGAAAAAGAATCTGAAAACGAATATGTCTGTGTATGTATGACTGAAACATTATGCTGTATACCAGAAATTGACACAACACTGTAAACTGACTATACTTTAATAGAAAAAAAAGATGCCATCAATTATTTAAAAAAAAAAAAGATGTAATTGAAAGGGCAAATCAGCCAGCATAAGATCTCAGAGCTCCCTGGGGGACTGTTGGTTATTTTCTCTACTTTCTATCATCTCTACCCTCTGCATCTCCTCCCCTTCCTGAATTCCCATTTCCTTTCAGAAAGGAAAGGGCCATACATTTTTCACTTACCGTGTTTCTCCTTAGGCTCTTCTGATTCAGACACTTCGATGTCTGGAATCACCTCTCTCTCTCCTTTGCCATCACTGTCAACACATATTTAACAAAAATGTCTCAACCTTTCAGCTCTAATGCTCCAAAATGTCAACTGAAATATTTTTAGGTGAAGTAGAAGAAAAAGACTTTGCTATTTCTAGTTGTTCCAACGAAATTCATAAAATGCCCACTTCCATTGCTCCATTCTCCAAAATATTTTTTCCATCATTGCTAGATAAATAAAGATCCCTCACCCCTTTTACCTGTCCCAAGGTTCATCAAGTCCTTGGAACAAATTCACTCTGATTATTCTCAGACATGCAGGAAAGGTTTGGTTCTTGTCTGGCTATCTGGAGGTTAGGGCAGAATTATACGCCCATAAAAAATTATATGGGTAAAAAAGAATTTAAACATTTTCAATTTATATTCATTCTTTTCTAAAATCCTGAAGCAAAGAAGATCTTACTATTGGTCTATCCCTGGGAAAAAATTCCACACGATGACCTCTGGAAAAAGAGCTCTTTCAAATGTTTTAAACGTTAAAAACAAAAAAACTAACTAACTAACTAAAAAAACACATTTACTTTGAACTTTAGGTTTTGAGTTTCATTTTATTAAATTTAAACCTCCATTAGCTTTATCACTGTTTTACATTCATACTGTTTTCAAGCTCCTGTTTTCACACCCCTGATATCAGAGGTCAGCAATATGTATGTGAAAGGACTGCTTCTGGGGAAGTTTGGACATGTCTTTTCAAGAAACCTGTGTAATGGAAAACTCACAGACCTTATTAAATAACAATATAGAATACAACTATATTTTCCTGTAAAGAGGTAAATTGTCAAGGGTACAATTTTGCTGTCTTGAATGACAGAAATGATCACCTACTTAAAGACTTCCCTGCCATTTCCTGTTTTCAGAAATGGTTTTCTTAAATTATGTTCGTTTTAATTCATTCATTCATTCATTTTTTGAAGTATAGGTGATCTGCAGTATCATATTAGTTTCAGGTGTACAACATAGTGATTTGATATTTTTATAAATCATACTCCATTTAAAATTCTAATGAAATGTTGGCTACATTCCCTGTGCTGTACACTATATCCTTGTTACTTATCCATCTTATACATGGTAGTTTGTGTCTCTTAATTCCCTACCCCAAGGTGTCCCTCCCCACTTCCCTCTCCCCAGTGGTAACCTTTTGTTCTCTAAATCTATATGTCTGTTTCTGTTTTTTTTTTAAATACTCATTTGTCCATTTTGGTTTTTAGATTCCACATATAAGTGACAGCATACAGTATTCGTCTTTCTCTGCCTGACTGATTTCACTTAGCATAATACCCTCCAGATCAATCCATGTTGTTGCAACTGGCAAAATTTCATTCTTTTTATGCCCAAGTGATATTCCATTGTGCACGCACGTGTGTGTGTGTGTGTGTGTACCTAAATTTTCCTATTGTATCATCTTTCTTATGCCTTCCTCTGCCATGAATGGCCTATGAATCACTTGTCTGTACTGACAACTGCTGCAGCCACCACAATCCGAGTCCCAGGACAAGAGTTGCTACTGACTTTCACTGTTGCTACTTGGTGTGACTAAAGAGTGAAACAGGCTTCCCCTAATATCCGTAACCCTGCAGGGACAAGGCTGCAAATTGTAATAAGACATGGAAAGCTCAGACATCCTAGGCAAAAATAAGAAGGAATGAATAGTGACAAATGGGGTTATGTTTAAAGTTGAGCTCAAATCCAGATCAGCACTCAAAGGTTCTGGAAAACTTCTTGGGCCCACTGCCATCTTCACCATTGCAAGCTCACTTGTCCTCTGTGAAGGGATCCACAGCATGTCTACTCTACTTTGATTCCAGCCCCACTGAGCACTCACACACACACACACACACACTACAAATCCCCAAGAAAGAGATCTTTTTTCCCCCTTCAGTCTGTCAAGTTTACCTAATCACTACACTTCTATACCAGGATGTGCCTAGTCTGAGTATAATTAAGAGGAAAATATTAACCTTCTTCAAGAGAATCAGGACATTTATGCAGAGATGCGTTGTTATGTCATTTGTTGCAAAAATTACATTCAATTAGAACTTCTGTGTACGTGCTCTCATATTCAGTTTTAAATTCCCCAAGTAGACCATTTCAGCAATCTAATCTGTATTTTTCTGGGCAAAGCGCAGTTATTATTTACTCTTCTCTCCCAGATGTACAATCTCTTGGTTACCTCAGTTTTAGCATTCTTTCAAAAATGGTGAAGTAAAATAAAGTAAAGCAAGATATGTTCAAATAAAATAAGTGAAATGAACCAGGGAACTGAGCTGAAAGTTCTTTATCATACAGAAGCCACACTCCTGAGGATGGACATGACTTCCCCAAGTTCAGAAGATAGAATCTAGAGAAATAGGATCTTCCCATGGTCATCAAGAGCTAAGCCAAGATCTCAGTGGTACTTATGGGCCAGGACATTGGCCGCACCTGCCACCACCTTCTGATAGGCAGCCTGCAGGTCCGGGGTGAATTCCTTGCCAAAGTGATGAGCCAGCACAACCACCAGCACGTTGCCCAGGAGCTGTGTGGAAGAGATAAGAAGCAAGGGCGTGGTTAGCAGAGGGAGCAGAGGGACCCGGCTTGGACTCAGAGTATTTCAGTTTCATCCCAAGCTGTGCCCCTAAATATAAGCGGAACGATCGCCGAAGTGCAGAGGTTGCTCTTGATGTGAGTCCCCCACCATCAGCCTGAATTTATATTTAGAAAGGTTTCTCCCTTTCTGCCTTAATTCTGAACTTAAGTCATCGTTGTTGTCCTTTAGAACCATGTGAAGAAGCAACACTACTTTTTATCCTGCTTGCTTTGAAAGGAAGAGATAAGGGAAAAATCAACATTAGATAACATTTTCTTTTTTTGTTAACCTTTGTTTCAAATGTTATTCCCAGGCTTCTTCCGCTTAATTAGCTCCAAAGAATGAATTATGTGTAAAGCAAAAACTGAAAAGAGCTGCAATATTCAGGAGCTGGGGCTTAAAAAATATTAGAGACCTAGATTTTATCAGATTCATAAACAAAATATTAAAAAGCAGCATAATATAAAATAGCAGCCCCTGGTAACTTCTTCAAGTTTTATCTTCTTCAGAAGTTGACTCAAGTCGGTTTGCTTCACTCTTGGACATCTCATCAAATTCTCCACAAGATCTGGAACTTCGTAATCCTTATCCTCTCTAGTAGCAAGTGGTGCGTTTCCATCCACAGATTGATTGGGCAGAGGTGCAGGCAGTCTCCTTAAAGTGGTCAGACTGTCTGTGCCAAGCTGGATTAAGATGCTGGGTAGCATTTCTATCAGCTGCTTTAGCCTGTAGTGATGAAAGTATTTGCTGCCAGAGATGCCTGAAGTGTGTTGCTGCTCTTTGGTTTGTGAACATATTCACCTCTTCAATACCAGAGTGCAAAAATAAGCTCAAAATGCATTAAAGACCTAAATGTAACACCGGATACTATAAAACTCCTAGAGGAAAGCATAGACAGAACACTCTTTAGCATAAATCATAGCAGTATTTTTTGGATCCATCTCTCAGCATAATGGAAATAAGAAAAAATAAACAAATGAGACCTAATTAAACTTAAAAGCTTTCGAACAGCAAAGGAAACCATAAACAAAACAAAAGACAACCTACAAAATGGGAAAAATTATTTGCAAATGATGGGACCAACAATGGATTAATTTACAAAATATACAAACAGCTCATACAGCTCAATATCAAAAACAAACAAACAAAAACCAACCCAATCAAAAAATGGGCAGAAGAGCTAAATAGACATTTCTCCAAAGGAAGCATACAAATGGCCAACAGGCATATGAAAAGAAGCTCAATATCGCTAATTATTAGAGAAATAGAAATCAAAACTACAATGAGGTATCACCTCACACCAGTCAGAATGGCCATAATCAAAAAGTCTGCAAATAATAAATACTGGAGAGGGTGTGGAAATAAAGGAACCTCATACACTGTTGGTAGGGATGTAAATTGGTACATCCACTATGGGAAACAGCATTGAGGTTCCTTAAAAAACTAAAAATAAAGTTACCATATGATCTAGCAATCCCACTCCTGGACATATATCAGGAGGTAACTCTAGTTTGAAAAGATACATGCACCCCAGTGTTCATAGCAGCACTATTTACAATAGCCAAGACATGGAAGCAAACTAAATGTCCATCAACAGATGAATGGCTAAAGATGTGGAATATCACAATGGAATATTACCCAGACACAAAAAAGGAATGAAATAATGCCATTTTCAGCAACATGGATGGACCTAGAGATTATCATTTTAAGTGAAGTAAGTCAGGCAGAGAAAAACAGCTATCATATGATATCACTTATATGTGGAATCTTAAAAAAGTGATACAAATGAACTTATTTACAAAACAGAAATAGACTCACAGACATAGAAAGCAAACTTATGGTTAGCAAAGGGGAAAGGAGGGAGGGATAAACTAGGAGTTTAGGATTATCATATATGCACTACTATATATAAAATAGCCAACAAGGAACTACTGTATAGCATAGGGAACTATATTCAATATCTTATAATAACCTATAATGGAAAAGAATCTGAAAAAGAAAAAAAGAATATATATATATATATATAAAACTGAATCACTTTGCCATACACCTGAAACTAACACAGCATTGTAAATCAACTATACATCAAAAAAATTATTCTGGCTTCAGTGTATAAATTTGTTTTAGAGGGTAGAATAAATGAGAGAAAAATAGTATGATATTGGAGTAGGGAGGGAAGTACAAATGCCATCTCCATTTTCAGACTTGAGCAATTAATAATGAGCAATTGATAATGTGATAGTCATTAAGATGAGGAACACAAAAAGAAGGCTAAATTAGCAGGAATCAGTTAGGAAAAGATCAGGAGGTCAGCCTTGGACATACTTTGCTTATGCACTATTGAACAATCCAAAATGAAATATTAAGCAAATAGTTAGACATATAGATCTGAAGTTCAGAAATAATGCAATCAGTTCAAGAATATAGAATGAAACAGGGAACAGAGGAATAATAGATCATAGTGCATCATACAAACCACTACCGCTCCCTTTTCAGAAATAACAGACAACACACTTTACAAATGTCTCTTTGAAACCTGGGAACATATTTATGAGTTAGGAATTATTATCCCATATTACAAACAAAGGAATTGATTCTGAAAAATGTTAACTGAACTTTTTAAGGTGATGGGTTGATAATTTGATCCTTATTAATCCCAAAGCCCTGGCTTTTCACTTCTATGCAAGGAACTTGGGTCCAGGAATTTGAAGTGATTTTTACACAAGTGACTGTGCCTACAAGTGAATTCTAGGCATTTTCTGTTCTGTTAATAGATTTCTTCTTTTCATTCACCAGACAGGGAACGTGGCTATCATCTGTGAGCTCTCCACTCTCTATTTCATAATGTTTCGAGTCCTGAAGCATCTTTGCCACAATGGTCCTTTACTTGATTTTTCCTTCGGTTCATTGTTCCTTTCAAGTTTAGACCTTTACCTATCAGTTCACTGTAATCACAGCAAATTCCTACAGCCACATCCAAAGTAGATTCTGCCTTGTCAGGTCTATGCCGACACATGGATCAATTTCCCTAAAATTTCCTATTCATGATGTCACTTTCTTGTACAAGAAACCTCACTGGTTCTTTTTGCTTGTGATAATAGCTTCTTTTCCTGCTTTTTAAGGGCCAATTTCTCTTCTGCCAATTACACCTGGCAAGCTGATTCCTGAATTTTCCCACACAAATGGCCTTTTATCTCCACCAAAGGCTTAATTGAATAAATGTGTTCCAGGTCACAGAGCTGGCAAGTAGTGTACAGATTCAAACGAAGGCTTTCAGTTCAGCCTTAGGGATGGTTCCTCCATTAATAGCATTGAAAATGCTATAACTTCATTATAGCTGTTAAAAATATGTTTCTTATATTAAATAGAAGAGAATTATAGTCCAAAAAGAACTCCACCCTAAGTGTATAAAAGTAACAGCCTATAGAGGTCCCCTACTTCGTGTCTTAACTACTCACTGTCAGCAATCATCTTGCATTTCTCAAGAGTAACTCCGTTTTCTTCCTTTTTCTAAAGACCTTGTCCAACTCAAGGGTCTACTTTCCATTCCTAGGAGAACTACCCATTGAAGCCACTCTTATCCTGCAGAATCCTGTGAGTCTCTTCTATATCCTCTCCAAACTCCCATATTCCCATTCCCATAGGAGTGCTTTTTTTTAACTGAATCAACATAAAAGATAAAGACAGAGAGAAAATACAAGGATGTTCCTTATAGAGCATTGTTTCTTATTTTATTTTTATTATAAAGGAATTAAGTATGGAGACAAGACACTGTCTCCAGTCTTCAGGAGATGGACTCTTGGGACACAGGCACCAACATAGCTGGCCAGTCAACTAGTGGTACCTGTGGGCCAGAGCATTAGCCACAGCATCCGTCAGCTTCTGCCAGGCAGCCTGCATCTGTGGGGTAAATTCCTTGTTGAAGTGGGTTGCCAAGACAATTGATATCATGTTGCCTAGGAGCTGGGGATGAGAAGAAGATAATACACAGTAAATAAAAGGCCTCAAGCTTGCCTTGCAGCAAATAGATGCACCATCCATTTCCTTCCTAATAAGAGTTTGAGCAACTTTCACGGTCATGCTCCCACAAAATTGCGTCATTATAGAATTGACATTGGCTCCAGTGCCTCCAAGCTAAAAATCTCTGCTGTGTTCTGTTCTTCTCCACATTTGCCCTGCAAGCACCCAATCCCAGAACATTGCTATGGGCTACTTCTCTCCTTTTTTTAAAAGTAAAATCATAGGACTGTAAGGTGACTTAATTGTGTAGTTTAAGTCCCCAGATAGTGCATACATTAAGATTGGTTGGACACCCATTTGACAAGGAATCCAGTGCCTGTATACAAGAACATCTCATGACTGCTGGGGTTGGGGGTGGGGGGCATGGGGAAATCATGAAAAAATCGCTTTTACTTTGCCCTGCACAGTTCTGGTTCATAACTCAAGAACCATGAATGTCATCATCAATTTTCTTACAAAAGTTCAGTTGCACAAGTCAAGATGTACTTCTCCCTGACTCAATTTGTATTCCCTAGGCCAAAACATTCAGCTCAGTTTTGGCCAGTGTTCTTGACAATATGTATTTTTTCAGTGCTTTCAGATGAATAGTAGCCTCCACTAGTCATAGTAATTACTCCACTTGGTCTTACCTTTGACCTTTGGAACAACTGAAATGCCAAAATCAAGGCTTTCCCTAAAATATTGCCTCCCAAAAATACTTCAAAAGGATAAGCTTTAAGTACCTGTGTTCTCTACCATAACCACACAGATACCTGGGAGGAGAGAACAGGGCACACACGTGCCTAGAACTCACCCTGAAGTTCTCAGGATCCACATGCAACTTGTCACAGTGCAACTCACTCAGCTTAGCAAAAGTGCCCTTGAAGTCTTCCATGTGCTTAACAGCATTTCCAAAGGAGGTCAGCACCTTCTCGCCATGGGCCTGGACCTTGGGGTTGCCTATTATTGCAGACTCAGAGTATAAGTTACCAAAATTGTCAAAGAAACGCTGGGTCCATGGGTAGACGACCAGGAGTCTATGGGATGATCATAGTCAGAGCAGATGGTGAGTCAGGGTATGTAAGAAACCTAACCAGTCCTTCTTTCTGGAACACTTTCTGCCTTTCTGCACCCTGCCCCAGCCTCCAGTGCTTACCTTCCCAGGCTCTCACCTCTGGCCACCTCCACGTTCACCTTGGCCCACAGGCTAGCAATGGCAGCCTTCTCCTCAGCAGTGAAATGCACCATGGTGCCTGGGAGCTTATGGTGATCACCAGTGTGCCAGAAGCAAGTTTGTGCTGCTGCTTCTCTACGTGGCCTTTTATTCTTCCTCTCTTGTCCCCAGGCCCTTGCTTCTCCCAATAAAATGATACTATTGGTCAAGGGTGGGTTGTCACCACCAAGGGTGGAACTTGGACAGTGGAGGGTCAGCAAGATGGACATTTGTGTCTCTGATAGTGTTGGGTGGCTCTATCAGGGGGCTTCTGCTGTCCTCTCCCCTACCATCTATTCTGCAGTTCATATCTCAATCTCCCCACCTCCACTATCCCTGAAGCAATCAGTAGGCTGACCATGAGGCTTAACTAGAATTAGGAAGGGTAAGAATTAGAAATCTATTGGACATTATGTCAAGTGTTTACAAGACTTCATTCTGCTGTTTGCCTAGATTATAGAATCCACAGCTCTTCTGAGTTACCAATTTTTTTTAATTCTTCTTTTTTTTAATTAAAAAAAAATTGGAGGGCGGGAGGGAGGTGATTAGGTTTATTTATTTTAATGGAGGTACTGGGGATTGAACCCAGGACCTCCTGCATGTTAAGCATGCACTCTACCACTGAGCTGTACCCTTCCCCCAGTTACCAAGTTTTGTAAAACTTAGGCGGGGCTCATAATTTATAGTTCTTGTAAACAAGAAGAAAGACCCCAGTCCAGCATCACTTTGGGAACAAGATAGATAAGACTGGGTAATTTAGAGAAAAACTGAGCTTGAGTTGAACTCATTGTTGTTGAGTTCTATTAATAATATATGCACTTGTCTGAACATATTTTTCTCATTCTGATTATATGGACAAGTGTCTCTGGCCAATACACGTATCTACACATTTTTGTCAGAGAATATGCAATTGAGTGTTGGGGAAAATGAGTTCTTGTGATCAGTGAAGAGAGTATTAGAATTCTCCTTGGCAATGGCTAGGGATTAAGGGAGTTGTGTCTGGTGTTTGCTCTCTTCCCGTGTTTAACGTTCCCTTCTGTCTAATCAGGCGGAGACATTCTTCACTGACAGTATACCACACACCACTGCCACTGTGATCTAAGGTACTTTGGTCTCATGCATCTCAAACAAGCATTTATAGAGCTAGACAGGGTATATACACTTCTAGTGAGAGAGGGAATGGTTCATTTTATTTTATTTTCTCGGAATTTATTGCTCTTGCATTTTGAGCTCCAGAAAGCAGTTTTTTTGTTTCTCCTTGAGATCAATATTACCACCCCCGAAAAATATATGTATATATATATACACATGGAGATTATTTATTCTGTATAATAAATATATACGTATAGGTATATACATATACATATGTGTAATGAATAATCTACATGTATATTTACAGTGTTATTCTAAAATTTAAACAGTTCAAGCCAATATTATTATGCTGAATTTCTACTATTAGAAAAATCTTTAAAAAAGAAAAGAAAAGAAATCTTTTCTGTCTATTTGATATAGTGAGAGACTTTTATCTCTTCAGTTTAGAAAAGACTTAAATGTAAAATGTGGATAAGAAATGCTAAGTTTCCAGAAGCTAGTTTACCATGACCAACTTGATTATCTGTGAGCTTTCAGTCCCCAGCTGTGTTGATGTGAGCACTTTAGTACAGAGATAGAAAGAAAGGAGTTTGAATTAATGCCAAAAGGATTTGCTTCAAGAGAAGAGATCCATGAAATAAAAGAAAGGAGAGGAAATTCTGACCACAGCTAGGAACCCATTAGACTCAGTTGTGGGTCTGGCTTGCAGGGGTGGCTCCAGGTACTTGCTGAAGTACTTGGTCCTCATACCCATCTTCACGGGAGTGCATGCACACCGCAATCCCTCAGACTCAGGGACATTGTCTACACTAATAAATGTTGATGAATAACTGCTCATCTTTCCAGCAAACCAGGTAGTGATTCTAAAAGTTACCTCTAACTTCTGTTTTTCTCTCATCCTTTTTAGACAGTCACTTTCCAAGACTTTTTGATTCTTTTTGCTCATGATTGTTCCACTTTTCCAGTTTATTCCATGCCCACTGCTCCCACTGTCACCTAGATACTTGTCACATCAAGGCTAGATTATCATCTTAGTCATCTAACTGTCTTCCACTCCTTCATGATGTATTAAAAAATACATGTATTGAGGCCACTCACGCCATGCATTGTTTTAAACAGCGGGAATATTGGATGAACAAAACAGTTTAATCTAATCTCATGATGCTCACATTCTAGTGGACAGAGAAGACTAACATTAACAATTAAGCTAGTAAATAAATAGGAGAACTTCAGATTGTGTTTTATGACAAGAAGGAAATGCATCTGATGATATAGTAACAAGTGATGACAGAAAAATAATACAAAGATACATGTCCTAAAGGAAGTCACACTTGAAGTGAAAGCCTTGATGACAAGATGGGGTCAGGCAGGAGTCATGTGGAGAAACAAGTTGCTGGAAGTGGGAAGGTTAAGTGCAAAATTCTGAGGCTGGAGAGAAAAGAAAAAAGAGAGAAAGGAAAAACAAACTTGAGGTTTAGAGAAAAACATTACAAAGGCAGAGTGAAATGTGTTAAGGGAAGAGTGGGAGGAAGTAAAGTTGGAGAGGTGAGCCTAGGCCTTATTATTTTGGTACATGAGATTAGAGTGGGTATTATATTTTGACTTTATTTTTTAATTTTTAAAATTTAATTCCAGTTTTATTGAGATATAATTGACATATAGCCCTGCATAAGTTTAAGGTGTACAGCATAATAATTTGACTTACATATATTGTGAAAAGATTGCCACACTTAGTTAACATCTAATATCTAATATGGATACAAAAAAGAAAAAAACATTTCTCTTTATAATGAGAACTTTTAGGGTGTTCTCTTAGCAGCTTTCAAATTTACCAGACAGCAGTGTTAACAATAGTCATCTTGTTGTAAATTACATCCCTAGTACTCATTTATCTTATAACTGGAAGTTTATAAATTTAGCCCACCTTAATCAACTTCCCCGACTCCTTACCCCCATGTCTGCTAAGGCTTTAGAATAAAAATGGAAGCCAGTAGAGATGTGTAAATCTTGCATTCACATAATGACTCATCTATTCAGTGCCCACAGCCAAACTAATCTTCCAGACTTCTCTGTTTATCACATTGTACTCTTGCCTAGAAACAGGCATTAACTTCTAGTCATAGAAAAAAATCCTGTGATCTAGCCTCTCCAACCACTCTATGCTATTTCTTTCCTTTTCCTTTTGATCTCACGGTACTGATCTGTGGCTCTGAGCTGACTTTTGAGCCTCTTCTGGTTCATGTCCCCCACCTAAACCTTCATCTCTCTAAGCAGTTTGCAATGATCTCTCTTTCTTGAAATGCTGTAGTAGCCAATCTGCACGCTTGAGCATTGTCTCCCATTTTATTTATGCATGTATTGGTGTGTGTGTGTGTGTATATATATATATATATATATATATATATGGAAACTATTCAGCCATAAAAAAGAATAAAATAGTACCATTTGCAGCAACATGGATGAACCTGGAGATCGCCATTCTAAGTGAAGTGAGGCAGAAAGAGAAAGAAAAATGCCATATGATATCACTTATATGTGGAATTTTAAAAAAAAAGGACACAAATGAACTTATCTATAAAATAGAAACAGACTTACCAAACATCGAGAATAAACTTATGGTTATCAGGGGGTAAAGAGGGTGAGAAGAGATACATTGGGAATTCAAAAATTGCACCTTTTGGGGAGTGATGGAAATGTTAGGTATCTTGATTGTGGTGTGGTTTCATAAGTGTATACATCTGTCAAAATTCATCTAATTGTACATCTGAAATATGTATAGTTTACTGTATAGGAACCATGCCACAATAAAGGTGTTTAAAAAAAAGGAGAAAGAAACCTTTGTTACAGCCCACAAAAACAAACAAACCAACCAAAAACAGCTGTTCCTTAGTGACTCTACACTCCTGGGCAGGGCTCTCTGTGATACTTGTGAGCCATGAGTTTAACCAGTTCAGTCATTGTCTTCTGCCAAGCAGCCTGCACTTGAGGGGTGAATTCTTTTTCAAAATGGTTTATCAAGAAAAATCACTAGCTTCTTCCCAAGGTCTGTGGAGGTGGAAAGAGATAACAGATATGCACAGTGAGCAGAGAGCTCCAGGCTGGCCTTTCAACTCCCACCTGGAACCAAGCTGTGTCAACTTCCCTCAAAGCTGGGGCTTTGCCAAGGCACTAAACACTGCTGATTTATTCCTCTTGCTAGACTAATACCTGACCATAATTTCACTCTTTGTATCTTCTTAACACCACCCACCTCATATTTTATGGGATTAAAACCCAAAACTCATAGCTTTCTTTTTATGCCCACTCTAGACCACGTGTCCTGGCTGTTTCCCTCCCTCAGACACACTTCACTCTGCTTCTGGATAGGATGTAAGTTTGAAATGGCTCTTTAGAAGCAATTTTGTACAAATATCCAGCAAATGTATTAATAGCCTTAGCAATATCTTTGTGAATTCTAGGTTTCGCCCTTAAATGGAGTCTATATATGCCTACGTAGATATTTATACTCTGAGAAACAAATTCATCCCAGTACAGCTGATCAAAAACTACATGTTTCACATTAGATAAACTCTAATCCCAAACTGTGCTCAATCCTCAGTTTGTACAGATAAGAATCTATCCTATACCACCACCAGCAATGCTTTTACATCTGTCATGAGTCCCTCCATTCTGCATTTCTTGCACTGAACCTTATGAAGCTTAATGACCCACAAGTTGTGTGTTGTCTTATCTAATCTCACAAATGTCTCTGTTTTATCCTCTTCACACGCCCCATCTCCAAAACATCCAATCCCCATGGAATTCTTACTATCTTCTGAGTAGACACAAAAGCAAAAGTCACAGAGGAAAAGACAAGAACATTTCATATAGAGTATAATTTTTTTCATTTTATCAGGAGTTAAGTCTGGAGACAGGGCACTCTCTTGGAACACAGATCACTCCACCAGCTTGGTTGGACAGGCAATTCAGTGGTATCTGTGGGACAGAGCATAAATCACAGTAGTTGTCAGCTTCTGTCAGGCATCCTGCATCTGTGAGGTAAATTCCTTGCTGAAGTGGGTTGCCAAGATTATCAAAATCACGTTGTCTAGGAGCTGGGGAGAGATTGCAGATGAAAAGAAGATAGTACACAGTAAACAGAAAGCCTCAATCTGGCCTTACAGTAGATAGATACAATACCCATTTGCTTCCTGACCTGAGTTTGAGCAACTTACAGGGCCACGTTCCCACAAAAAAAAAAAAAAATGTCGTTATGGGCTCCACGTTGGCTTCAATAGGACTCCCAGCTTTCTGTCTCCCGTTGTGTTCTATCCTCCTGTCATTTGCCCTGCCAACTTACAACCCCAGAACATTGTTACATATTGCTTTGCTCTTGTCTTTTTTTTTCAAAAGGAAGACTATAGTACTTCCAGGGGTCTTAAGAAATAGTACATATAGCATAAGGAACTATATTCAATATTTTGTAATAAACTATAATGAAAAAGAATCAGAAGAAAAGAAAAATATGTGTATATATTTGTATAACAGTCACTTTGCTGTACACCTGAAAGAAAAACAATATTGCAAAATAACTATACTTTAATTTTTAAAAAAGAAGTAGTATAAGTCTCCAGTCATTACATGCCTACAATTTTCCTGAGCATTCATATAAAATAGAACCCTGCACCATGGGTACGAGGACAAATTATCATTATGCAGGAGGAAATTTTCATCTTTTTGAAAAGCTTGCCCTTACTTTGTCCTTGTTGGTTCTGTTCTAACTTCAAGAACTGTGAATTTTAAAATGTTAAAAAAAAAAAAAAGAACTGTGCCAAAAGTTGTCCATCAATTTTCACAGAAATTTTCAGTTACCAATGGCCAGATGCTCTTCTCCTTGCCCAAACTTGTGTCCCCAAGTCCAAGACATTGAGTTTAATTTCAGTCAGTACTCTTTATAAGATGTATTTTTCAGAAATATCAAATGCAAGTGGCCTTCTACTATGTCTATTTCTTATTCTACCTAGGCTCAGCTATGCCATTTATAGAACTCTTTCAAAATCAATCCCATCACCAAAATACCATTCCCCACAGCTAACCCCTATTTCACAAGAGGTAGCTGCTTCTGTTATCAAAAGTAGCAATAATTAACAGATACACATCACTGTATATAAAATAGATAAACAACAAGGACCTACTTGTATGACACAGGGATATATATTCAGTATCTTGTAATGAGCCATAAGGGAAAAGAAACGAAAAAAAGAAAAAAAGTAAGTATGTATATGTATAACTGAATCTTTTTGCTGTACACCTGAAACTAACATTGTAAATCGACTACGCTTCAGTGAAAAACAAGAATTAAAAAAAATCAAAAGTAGCCCTAGCACAGATACCTGGGATGAGAGAACACAGCACACGCATGCCCAGAACTCACCCTGAAGTTCTCAGGATCCACAGGCCATGCATCACAATGCCTCTCACTAGGCTTAGCAGAAGTGCCCTTGAGGTCATCCACATGCTTAACAGCATCTCCAAAGGAGGTCAGCACCTTCCTGTCATAGGCCTTGACCTTGGGGTTGCCCATTATTGCAGACTCAGAGTATAAGTCAGAATAGTAGTTGAGGGGCAAGAAAGATGAAGAGATTGATGGATTGAAAATGTACATTGCTCCCATTTGTTAACTGATTAGGTACAAAGGTTTAGTGCCGTAAATAGCCCCTGTTTACTCTGTTTAGAGGCATAATGAGTCTCTATAAGGCTCAGAGAGACTAGCACTGTTGACAGCCTGCGACTGTGTAATCATTGGTCTCTCATCCCCATTGTGGACACAAAGGTCAAATGTGAAGGTAATTCACAGGACAAATTCTGATCAACGTGTGGGAGCAATGAAATGTCTAACAGAGTTAAATTTGCCAAGATTTGGCACTCTAACTTGTAAAGTGTGGAAGTCTCGATCTTTGATATGAGAATTTGACTCAAGTCCTGAAGGTCTTAATTCCCTGAGCAACCTAGCAATAACTCCCTCAAGAGTGATTGAGTTAATGGCATCCCTATATGAGGGTTTCCAGGTCATCACAGATCTCTTCTTGATAGACCCAGGCTGGGAGCTTTCGGTCATCTACCACCACCTACCTCCTTCCTCCTCATCTACCCCAGCCGATTAGAAAACACGTCTTCTTCACTCTCGCTTTGTCTGTCCCTCGCTTTTTGCAGGCCTCGCTGCTCCTCTTAGGTTGAGGCCATTATGTCTTTTCCCATAAACTAGCATCCCTATCTAGTCTTTGCAATTTTTAAGTCATTTTGTATGCATTAAGCAGATTACTTCCCTCCGAATCCTATTCCTTAAGTCATTTAAAGTTCTAAGAATGTGTATTGTTTAATCTTGCCATTAGCATAGTAAGAGCTTTTATTGTTACTTTCAAGGCCTTGCGCTATGTATCTAGCCTTTCTACTCGCCTGTCTTCCTCTCCCTTCTACTTCCAGAGAGCCATTCTCATGCAAGTTACCAAGCCCTGGCTTGCTAGTTTTAGACAATGAGCTTTTTTTGGTATTTTACCTCCTACATGAAGACTTGATCATTCTCCCCCTGCCCCCCAAAATTTACACAATATCCTAACACTAACTTTATTTCAATTCATGTTACATTCAGTCGGAATGCACAATGATTCCAAGTGTCTTAGCCTTGGCTCCCCAGGAAGACAGTAGGACCGTTTAGGAAAGAGTAGGCTGTCGTCAGTTCATGGAGACTTTTTCTGGAAGACCCTCAGCCATCCCTCAACTCATCTTCTTATCTCCAATCCAAACGCACAAGATATATGACAACTTAGCTCATTCAAAATGTACATTTGAGCCAACTGTATTAGTAACTCCAGCCTAGACCATAGATCCCTACAAAGCTTTCTTTTTTAAACTGAACTCTGGCATGTGCCACAAATCTACCTTATTTTCCCCTCAGATATGGCTTACTACTTCCTTTCTTCCCCCCTACAGTGAGTTTTTGTTGTGCTGTCCCATAATAAGGTCTGCCAACTTAACTAACCACTTTCTCACCCCAGAAAACTTCTTGTCCATCTCAGCATCCTCCCAGATCATCCAGAATCCTCCCAAAATGTCTATCTTCTGTTGATGAGTCCCTGCACTCTTCTCAAAGGGCTCCTGTTTCTTCCTATGTCTCTTCTTCACCCCTCAGCCAATGAACCTTTTCTCCTTTAACACAAGAGTCAATGATGGAAAAGACACAATATTAATTTTTGATTAATGAGTAGAATGTATTTTATTAAGAAGAAGCTGTGCTCTCAAGGCCAAACCTCAGTCCCCACATGCAAAAGGAAGGTGGTGGGGACACAAAAGGGCTCTGGTGAACTGAAAAGAGGACTCAATGGTACTTGTGGGCCAGAGCATTGGCGACACCAGCCACCAGCTTCTGCCAAGCAGCCTGCACATCAGGGGTGAAATCTCTACCAAAGTGAGAAGCCAGGACGATCACCATCACGTTGCCCAGGAGCTGTTAGGTAAAAGACAAAATGACAATTAGTCAGGTTGAGTAGAAGTTTCCAGAAGGAATTGCAGGGAAAAAAAAAATCTCAGTACCCACACCCTCTCCCAACTCCACATCTTAAACCTCTTCAAAGATTGTGCCTATGCAATGAATTCAGATAAGCTAGTTCTTAAATTTAACTTCAAGTTTAAGTCCTTAAATTTTTAATTTTAAGTAATGGGCCCTCCATTCAACATTCTGCCTACCTATATCCCCACCCTCTCTCCCATTTCCCCACTTTCCTTTGTCTCTCTCCCTCCCTCTCACATTTACCCATGGTCTAATTTCTATAATCATAGGATTTCAGAGCTACATAGGTTCTTAGAGTGTTTAGTAAAGTCTCCAACCAATGCAGGAATAAGCCTTCACATAGTCACAAAACTGAAAAGGAATTTAAAATATTGGAGATTACTTGTTGTATTTTTCTTTGAGACAATCTGCCTAAAATTTTTTTCTCACAAATCTCTTTCTAAACTTCAATCATCAGGAACTACATAAAATAAGGTATTTCTCCTTCCAAAAGGCAGGCCTTCATCCACCAAAAGCCAACTTCATTCCTCCTATTCTCTAGTGTAAACAAATGCAGTTCTGACAAAAGTTCCTGAAAAGTTTTAAGCCAACTCAGGCTACTAGTACTGTCACTTTACTGTCACTAGTTTTGAATCAAGATGGGCTTAGTTATGTCCACTGGAGGTCTGCACCACAACACCAAGTTCAACCTATGATTTCTGAAATCTTTGCTGTTCTTTCCAACCAAAGACACAACTTTCATTGTTAATCCAAAGTAAAAAGTGAAAAAAATGAGTATTTTCTGAACTCACCCTAAAGTTCTCAGGGTCCACGTGCAGCTTGTCACAGTGCAGCTCACTCAGCTTAGCAAAGGCGCCCTTGAGGTTGTCCATGTTCTTAATAGCATCTCCAAAGGAGGTCAGCACCTTCTTGCCATGGGCCTTGACCTTGGGATTTCCCATTATGGCAGAGGGAGAGGACAGGTTGCCAAAGCTGTCAAAGAACCTCTGAGTCCAGGGGTAGACTACCAGGAGCCTAGGAGACATGACCATAGCAGATGGAAAATCAGCAACTCTCCAAAATCTTGAGTAATTCCCTGGTCAATTTGCCAAGCTCATATTCACCATCCTCCCCCATGCATTGAAATCCAGTTCCTACCTGCCCAGAACCTCGCCTCCAGCCTCTTCCACATTCACTTTGCCCCACAGGCTAGTGACAGCAGCTTTCTCCTCGGCAGTAAAAAGCACCATGATGTCAGGTATTGGAGCTGACAGGTGATCACAGAAGTGTCAGAAGCAAGTATGTGCTGCTGTCAGAAGGTGTGGCCTTTTATTCTTTACTGCTGGACTGCTGGCCCCTTCTTCCCCCTAGTACCTTGAAGTCATTGGTCAAGCTTTGTCCCTCAGGGGTGGAGTCAGGTCAGGAAATGGTCAGCACTGAAGATGTATACTGGGTTCGTGATAATGTGTATTGGTTTCTGAGAAACCTTTCCTTTCTTGGCTCCTCCTCCATCAACAACACAATTTTCCATTCATTCCGCCTTTGCACCCTCTTTGCTCCTCACATCATCCTCCAGGATGACATGTGTCTCTGCCATTCTCTTTCTTCCAGAAAAATTCCTAGAGAGAAGCCAAGCCCAAGATAAAGAAAGAGTTCCAGACAAACCAGGTTTAATTTTGGGGTTAAGGACGGTGACAGGGATAAAATCAGGGTAAAAAAAAAAAGCAATTTTTGACACAGAATCTCAGCCAGTTCCAGCTGTATTGGAGAGTGGATTATATTCTCCTCTAGTAACAGCCTTTTGGAACAGAGTTGTCTTGTTTCCAGGTATCTGGTCCATCCCATGTTTTCTTATCACTAAAGCTGTCGAAAAGGGCTTCAAGAAAGTTAACCATGTTTAAAAGCAGCATGTCTGTAGCTCAATACGAGATTTATGAATTCTGATTCTGAAGATCCTGTGGGCTGAATATAGTTTCATTTATGTTTAGGTGCTTATTGACTCAAGTTCAATTATCTCAGCTTCTCGTTTTGAAGTATTTTATTTATCTCTCCTATGATTTTTGTCTCTTTTTTTCAGGATGAAAAACCCAAAGTTTGGAGAGATAAGCTGACATGGTTATCCATGATAGATCAGAAAGATTAAATGGTCAGAAAAAAAGAAACTAAGACTATTCATTTATTACCTGTAAAGTTAAAATTAATAAAGTAAAAAACATGTTCTATCTTAAGGTATTTAAATTTAAAAAATGACTTTTTAAAAGAAACTTCAAAATTTGATGAATTAACTCCCGCCCCTTGGGGTATCATGTAGCATTTGTACTTTGGTAAACTCTATGCCAGATTTTAAGAAATGAAAAAGATGCCTCTTTTTAGCAGGAAAAAATTAAATTATTTTTTAAAACCTTGCTAGCTAATTTATTACATACATACTAAACCTGAAGTCAAATATTGTATTATCTTTAGGTGCTATTAGTATGGTGAATTATATAAATTACATTGTTAGTAGAGAAAATACATCTTTGATGCTACTGCAGGTTTTTCATAGTATTATCTGGGAAAAATTGCTTCAAAAGTTCTTCTTCACCACAAATGAGTTATTTTACTTTTAATTTCAAAATTGGCAAATTATGGACAGGGTTTATGAATCACTGAAGGTACAAAAAGCTGCTTAGGACTCTTGGTTAGAGAGGCTATAAGTTAGTTGGTTTCCATTATGCATCTGAGTATACATTCCTACAACAGAAATAGATGGGATCAGAGTTCTGTCAAGTGTTGCATTAGCCAAGAATAAGTTAGGTACCATGAGTAGCAGGAAATTCTGCCAGCTGCCATTTTCTGTTATGATTGCCAAAAATGAGAGACTAATGTGCAACACTGGTCTGGCAACACCGCTGCTTTGTAAACACCATGCCTCTGCATCATCTCTCACAAAGGTTGTAGGTGACCCTGAACCAGAGCTGGGTTTCATTCTCAGAGGAACTTCTTATAGTTGGTGACTGACAGCATAGACATCGATGATTTGACTGACCTCCAGGACCTGTGTGGCCAAGGCATAGCCAGAGGTAATGTGATAACGTTAATTAAGCAAGAGGAATCTTTACTGGGAAGAGGAGATGGGAAGCCGGAACCAGCCAGTCATTGCACACTTGTCGACATGATGAACCTCGAAAGTTCAAGCTTGAGTATGACAACTTAGAAAAGTCAGGAACTTCCTATTTTCCTATGTCAGGACTTTGGTCTCTTGGTTTCCTTGATGCTTTTTGACCTTAAGCAAAGTTGCCTTCATTTATTTTTCTGATTAAATTTCTGAGAGATTTCTATTTTTCTGTTTATTTTAAATAGTATTGCCTGATGTATTCTATGAACTAAGATAACTCTAAGTAGTCAGAAGGAATGACATTATCATTAGAGTCCTTGCTTCCTAGTCTTCCTTCCCTTTACTGCACTACCATAGGTTGTTGGTCCATTTCTCATGGCTCTTACTTAAGACTGAAGTCAAGTAGTAATTTATAAACTTCATTCAAATGTAGCAGCTCTAAAGCATACATAAACTCAGTGTTTACATGTCTACCTAAGGTTGATTCAAATGGTACTCTTCGAGGTATAGGACTTAGACATGTATATCCCAAAATGATGGAAATTCTATGGTAAGATTCCACCTCTGCTGTTAGAAGGTTGAGTGGTTCTTGCCTTCGTGACTTTTGAATTCTGAAAAGTGAATGGCTTTTTTTTTTCACTTAGGCATGCTATTTTCAATACTTTGGGTATTATGTATTGAAGCTATAGCATAGCATGTTCCCTGAATAAAAAAATCTACATCTCTCTAGAAAAGGATAACTTTGAGGTTTGGCAAGTAAGCAGGGCTTTAAAAGAAGCAGTAATGATTATGGTTAGATCTCATTCATTAACAAGCTTATCCACCATGAGGAATTATGAGTAACCAGGATCCTTTGTTTGTATGACCCAGAGGGGGCAGTTAATGTTGGCTCCTTTCCCTAACCCCTTTTAGCCTTTGCTAATCATAGCCCCAGAAGGGTTATTTCTGAAACCAAATTTTCACAACCCCTATGTTACTGAGTCTGAGGCATCAGGAGAACCTCTTAAATGCCTAGACCAACAAGCTACCATAGCCCCTCTCTGTATTCTGGCCTCTTTCAGTCCAGAATATCACCAGCTGTTTCCTGCACCTGTTTTTTGTTTGTTTTTCTTCTCCTCCTCCTAACCCCTCTTCTTTTCTTCTTCTTTCCTCCTCCTCCTCCTCCCCTCCCCCCCTCCTCTTCTTCTTCTTCTTCTTCTCTTCTTCTTCTTCCTCTCTTTGTTTATTCATTTGTTTTCTGGGGTTTAGGAAACATTTATTTTATTCTGTTTTGTTTTAAATTAACAGAGATCAACAGAGCCAGTGTTTTTCTCCTTCTGGGGACTTGGGCTGCTGATAGCTGGGTGGGGTCAGAAACTGTGGGCATAGATAGGGGCTCGGGACTAAACAGAGCAGTAGCAAAGGAGAGGACTAACTAGAGACAGTGAGAGCCAGAGTCTCCTACTGCCTTCAAAGACCCTGTCCTTGGATTCTGTACAAATAGAAAAATGAAAAAGATTGTGGATTGGTGCTTGTGGGTCTTGCATGGTTAACTGTTCAGAAATGCCTGATAAATATGTTCTGTGTAATATATGTGTGTGTGTTTACAAATGTGTGAGTATTGTCAAAATATGAAGGCTATAGTGACTAGATTACATGCAAGTCCTAGAGAGCCAGGGGAAGAAATTTCATTCTCCAAGTTCAATTAAGATTAAGAATAAATTTAGTGATAGAAAAGGGAGACTGAAAATCACCTGAAAGAGACAGAATGACTCCTAGGCCAGAAGCTCTTAGCTATAATCTATGGAGTGTTCTGATGTATAAAGAGAAGTCTGTTTATCATTAGAGATTTGGCCAACAAGGAAAGTATAGAAAAAGAAAGGTTGTTTGTTGGCTTAGTTTTTTTGAGTCTAGAGATGTTCTGAACCTCACATAATGTTTGTGTCCAGCCCAAAACTATCCTTTCCCTGAAGATGGATGAAAAAGCCATATCTGACCCTACTGACAAGATGATCTCTTGGTGGAAATGTTAGCTATCTTGATTGTGGTAGTGCTTTCATTGGTGTACTCATCTATCAAAATTCATCAGATTGTATATCTGAAATATGTATGGCTTACTACATAGGAACCATACCACAGTAAATGTGTTAAAATTTTTTTAATTAATATACAGTGTTGAAACATGAAAAAACATGTATTTTCTGTGCACACATAAATTTGCCTTAGAAGATAATAAATATGTATGAGATACATGAGTAATAAATATAAAGGAGCTATTTGTTACAAAAAAAAGGATAATCACTCGGCAGAATTGCATCTAGCTATGTGAATTGAAAGTTTATTTCCTCTACATTCACCTGATTGATATAAGAAAAGAATTTATTGTTCACAAAGATATTTATATTTGTAAACATTCCAGTTATAAATCTCAGTGTAAATTAATAAATAAGTACACCGGTTTCTATTTTAGGCTTTTGTGCCTTTTATTTTGACCAGAATGAGCCTTCAAGAGTCAGTCTCAATCTGCAAAATAAATGGGCTGCATCTCGGAACTATAATCTTACCAAGGTCCTACTTGCTGAGGTCTAGATAGCTCTAGTTGGCCTCATGGTAATGGCTGTACAACTGTGAATATACTAAAATCAAAGAACTGTATGTTTAAATGAATCAGTCTGTGAATTACATCTCAACAAAGCTAATCTACATAAAAGACTGAGAACTTTAGACATACCCTGAAGGCAGTAGGAAGATTTTGACTCCCCAACCCCATCCCAAAGGGATATGGCAGGATCAACTCTGTGTTTGAGAAAGGCAATGCTGGTAGGTGTTGGCAGGAACAGACAACGTAGGCAGAGATAATGGTCAAGAGACAGTCCCTCTGTTCAGTGAAGAAATGATAAAGTGTGAGCCAGTTCAGAGTCCTGGGGTTGAAGACATGGCCTTGAGAAGGAAAAGTGAATTTCAGAGGCTAAACAGAAGTGCTATTTTTGAATATCGGGCAGATTGCTCAGACAATGGACCAGGTGCAGAATGTCAAAACACATTTCCTGAAACAAGGAAGAATCAAGGGCAACTAAGCATGTCTCCAACCCTCCCTCTTTGGAATCTTCCTTTTGTCAGATCCCTAAGCATTGTGTGATCTCTTTGTTTTCCAGCTTGCTACAGTTCTGTGTGTGTCCTATTTCACCTCTGCAGGAATCTCTTTCCTTGGACCATTCTGGAGATCTGTAATAAGATCTCTTAGAATATCATAT